AGAGCTCGGCGGCACCGCCACACTAAAACCCTAACCCGACCCCCTAGTGAGATTTTTTATATTTTTTTGACCATTTCTTACCTATTTTCATGCTATTTTGACGTATGTTTCAATCTTAGTAGGAAAATTCAAGAAATTCAAGAACCGAGAACCGCAATGAAAAAGGTGGTGTTGTGAATACCGACCAAAGGTAAAAATCTCTCACCCATTTTTCTTGTTATGGTAAAATTGAAGCTAAACTGATAAATAAATAAAAATTTTAATTAATCTGTCGTCCTCTAACTAATTAAAGTACAGGTTGCCAATGGAGCAAGTAACTGGTCAGTTTATGCCTGTTTGAGTTTTAACTACAGTAATTATTCCCACAGTTGTTTATTATACTATTCTGTTCACTATACTACTTATTTTGATCTATTTATTTTAAATTATACAGAAAACATGGTAAGACCTCTCTATGTATGTTGTTTTATCATTCAATTATGTGTTTAATACGTTTTTGTTGATATAATACATGCTTATTTCATGTACTTACCCTAAAATGTAAATTTATTACTCATGTGTTGTTGGGATACAGATATACATGTCTCTTAAGGCTAAACAGTAAGCAAAAGAAAAGATATACGTGAACTAATGGTGTTGAGTAAAAAAGGCTTACTGGGTGTCTTGATAAAGAGTGTACGGACTTGGTGCATAGGGTGAACTCTACCGTGGATATTATTCTCAGTCAAATAGAGCTAAGAAGTCCCATACTGGAAGGGGTTGGGAATTATTTTAATTACTCTCATACCAGACAGGGTATTGAGGCAGTTGTGTATTTTGTGGCTCATTACCGGACAAAGTATGGAGACAACCGTTTAACTATAAAATGCATGCTCGTGTCCATGTGTAGTGGGGATCCCTATGGACCCCCAACAACACCGATAGATAACGTAAAATGATAAAGATGAATGTAGTAGGGATCTAGTTTTGAGAAATAATGAAAGGTTAATTGTTATATGTCTTTAGAATGCGCGTTGTAGATTGGCATCTTGATATTTACCTCAATAAATTATATTTAGGAACTTACAGGTGAGCTGAGAAAATTAACATTTTCAGTGAAACGGATAATGAATGCACTAGTGTTCGAACTTTGTTAAAAATGAGCTCAATTGGTTGTTTTATATTTTCTACAAACTTTTAATTTTCTGTATCAGTGGTAAAATATTGATATTCGTACTGAACTAGTGTAGCTCACCCTTTATTATTAACCATTTTAGATCACGACGACCAAAACTCAGATCATGAATAACAAGAAAACTAGTAAGGAGATTGCTTCTCCGCTTTTTCAGTTTCGAGCAGATATTGATCATATTTGTTTTCTTTATGATATCTTCCATTTAAGTCTTCAAGGGTATTCTTATAGTCATATTAGACATTTTAAGTAAACTATAGAAGAAATGTAACATTAAATTCTAATTGCTTCTGTTAAATTAAAAATTTTAGTATTGCTTATTTCACTATTTTTGAGTCATACGGTAAGAATCCCTAGTAGGGGGTTTGAGCTTTTATAGTTGGTATCAGAGCCGCATTCCTCAGAACGATTCCTTGTACATAGGGTTAGAGTAAATTTAATGTAACATGAATCTCAAACCATTGTTATAAAATGTAAGTAAAAGAACATGAGGAGAGAAATGCCCCCCACTAAATAGAGCAGCCTGGGAGGGATCGGTTCGAGAGGATGTTGATTGGCTCTTCAATATGCTTGAAAGGCTCATTTATGTCCAATAGACTAGGGAGGAGAGAAAGGAGTTGTCTGATCCCCCTTTATCACTACTACAGTATGAGCCACATCCACACCGGGAGGATCCAATACCCCCATGGTATAACCCAGCTCCTCTACAATACCATCTGGCACAGCCACAGTACAATATGGTGTCTCCACCGTACAACCCAGTGTCACCACAAGGTCATTCAGTAAATCTCCAGCATAATTCAGTTCCCTTTCAGCGGGGTCCAGCTCCACCCATGATGGACCCAGGCTATATCGAAAGGTACAAGAGACTTAATCCAACTACTTTTACAAGGGTATCCACTTTTAAAGAAGCTGAGTACTGGTTGGCAGAGATGAAAAAGGCCTTCGCGACCCTTGAGGTGGTTTCTGAACAGAAGGTTGTCCTTGTCACTTACATGCTCGTAGGTGGGGCAGGGGTTTAGTGGCAACTCAAACAGGCTATTTTGCTCATTCCTATCACCTAGGAATAATTTTTTATAGCTTTAAATGCTGAGTATCTTCTTGAACACTTCTAGCATATGAAAGAAATAGAGTTTGCACATCTGGTCCAGGGAGATTTGTCAGTATCAAAATATGCTCAGAAATTCCTAGAGCTAGGTTGGTACTCCCTTGAGAGTTTAGCAGATGAAGGTAATAAGGCGAGAAGGTTCGAATGGGATCTTCGTCCTGAGATCAGTCAACAACTATATGTCTTTGAGCTTAACACTTATTCAGTGGTCTTGGCTACGACACATTTAATAGAGAGGAACCTCCATATTTTTTCTTCAACAGTGGGAACTCTAGGCCCCAGGTTCCGCATCATAGACCAATATCTACTGCACTGAACCAATAGAATAAGAGACCAAGGCCTATAATTCAGGCTCTTCCCCAGGTCCTGATAGTAGGACGCGACAAGATTTACCGGCACTATGGTAAAGATCATAGAGACCTACCTTACTACCACCTCAACAACACATGTTACATATGCCAGAGTGCTCAACACTATGCGGGCGAGTGCCCGAAGAATCAAAATCAGACCAGACCCGCGGTCTAGGGCAGGGTCTATATATTCATCCAGCAGAATGCTGAAGTCAACCCAAATGTGATACATGATACATATACTATCTATAATCACCTTGTACATATTTTGATTGATACTGGTGCTTCACACTCTTTTGTTTCACATTCTTTTACTCAAAATTTAAATGCGTCA